TCCCCTAATCCTCTTTCTTGCTCTTCTCTGCACTCCTTCCAGAGTCTCCGCATCTTTTCTACATCGTGGCGACCAAAACTGGATGCCGTAATTCAAGTGTGGCCTTACCTTATAAAGTGGTATGAACAATTCACGTGGTTTTAATTCCATCCCTTTGTTCATGCATTGGCTTTAAGAAGTCTGGATTTCAATTCCCAGAATTCCCCAGCCAGCATGAGGAATTCTTGGTGGGCAGGAGTGAGGCAGCCCAAAGCCTATTACTAATCCGTGTAACTCACTGCCCCAAACTTTATATGGCCGTAAAAGGGGTCTGGATAAATCCCTGCAAGAAGGTCTATAAAGGGTTACTCATCTTGATGACCTCACGAGGCCTCCAAGCTGAGGGCACCATTGCTAGGAACAATGGGGGAGGGGATGTGTCATTTGTGGAGCCCCCAAAGGGCATCTAACTGATCCCAAATGGCAACTCCTAATGTTGCCATTGTGAGACAAGGGGGGGGAGTGCATTCCACGCATACTTTCGGCTGAAGTCGGATCTCAGATTACTGCAGCATGCTTGGGAGGGGGCGCACCTCATTGGGGAATGTGATTTATGACACAGACTGAGGGGAGGGAAGGAACAGGGGTAAAGGTCAGCTATAACATAAAGAAAGCTTAGATCTGACTGCGAAAAGGCCTTGCCTAATGGTGCTCCTAAGAAATGACTAGTTTTGCATTGAAACTTGGCTTGAGACTCATGAATCAATTAGGGCATTTTTAGGAAACCTGACAGCTACAGTAGATTAGCACCCTCGCCTAATCCAAAGGAGTCGATCTTCTAACTGTAGGGCTGAGAGTGCTGGGTATTGTAATCCCAGCTCACTTGAATGCCCCCACCCCAACACCCCCCCCCCAATTTATGTGGACAGGAAACCCCCAAAACTCACTTGTCCATTCCAACTGGGCCATTCTCCTCTCCTCGCTTCTCAAATTTGCTTCGTAGATTTCAGGAGCTGTTTTTTTCAAGGACCTGCAAAACCAGGTTACCAGCATCATTTCTACTGACCACAGATAGGTGGTCATATACAATTACACCCCACTTTAAACTAGGTTTCCTCTAAGCAGCCTAGAGGGCATGTCGGCAGTCCATGGATCCAGAGCCACATGCAACTCTTTGGGCCCTCTGCTGTGGCTCCCTGTCAGGTGATCCCACCTCTGGCTGGCCTCGCCCCTTGCCCTCCCCTCCCAGTCACTCTTCACCTAGCCTAAGAAGGTAAGGACGATGGCAGGGGATGGAGAAGCGGCTGGGGCTGATTCTCAGGCGCCTCACTCTTCCTGGAGCTTCTTCCAGCCCTTGTTGGCGCTGGGCGTGCCTCGGTCGCTTGGGGAGACGCGCAACTTGCTCTCCGGCCCGAGAAACTATCCCGAGCCGGCCACGACCAACAGCAACCTCGCTAACGACGGTTGGCAGGGTGGGAAAAGGATCAGGGAGGAGGGGACAACAGAAAGTGGGACAGTCCCGCAGAGCCCGTGCCTTTAAAATGTACGCGGGAACTTTCACCCAGTGGTGAAACCTAATTTTTTTTACTACTGTGGGCGTGGCTTGGATCATGTGACTGGGTGGGCGTGGCTATGTAGTCATGTAACTGGGGGGGGATCAAAAGACAGAAACTCATTTCAACAATGTCCTGCTGGGACTAGATGACCTCCAAATCCCTTCCAGTCCTGGATTATCCTCTGAAGCTGCATGGCTGGCAAGCCACTCCCACCCGGTCACATGGCCAGCAAGCCACTCCCACCCAGTCACACGGCCGGCAAGCCACTCCCACCCAGTCACATGGCCAGCAAGCCACTCCCACCCAGTCACACGGCCGGCAAGCCACTCCCACCCAGTCACATGGCCAGCA